ATTTTTGCTTTCTCATATTATTTTTATTGTATTAATTATAGCTGTCAACAACTTAAAAACAATTCTCATTAATTTATTCGATTAGGTACCTACTATTGGAAATAGCACAATAGGTAGTCGGYAGTTTAATGAACTTTTTTAATTATTCKATGTTATTTATATAATGTATTGTACTGTCAGATATGTGAGTGTTTGGAATGCTGCACGTGATCAATTTTAAAATAATATTTTGGAATTTTGTGCATATTATATTTGCTTATACATTATTCATTATAAATTATACCTGCAAGCTGCATAGCATTGAATAATGTATAAAATGTAAATGATTCCTTGAGGGATAATTAAAACTATTATTTATATATACTTGATAACTCCGCCATATATGTTATACTAAAAATTGATTTTGAAAATTATTAATCACCGGCTTTCGCAGACACCAATACTGATAGTAAATTCAATAAAAGGACTAGATTTTAATGTTTCATAGCATCAGGTATATTTATTAATAACTATTTTTTAATTTTTTAATTTTTTTTTTACAGAGATTATTTTGGGCTACTATGCCTTATGGTATGTCTTTGCATAAGTGAATCAAAAGCTCAATGCCCATGGCAAGCAGATCAATCATCTGCAGAACTTCAGTCATCCTGTATATGTTCTACAAATATGGCACAAGAATTATCCATTCAGTGTGATCTTGTGAATTATGAAATATTAATGCAAACACTCGATAAATATTCAAAGCTTACATTGGACTTACTTTATATAAATAATAGCTCAGTTAAAACTATCGAAGATTCTAGTTTCGCTAATCTTAAAATCCACAACTTACAGTTATCGGGYTGTCAAATACAAACAATATCACCGACAGCGTTTAAAGGACTAGAACTTTATTTAAGAMACTTAAGTTTACAAGACAATAAAATAGACGAAATACCTAATTTAGAAGGACTTATTAACTTAACATTATTGGACCTTTCAAGAAATCGAATTTCAAGAGTTCCAGATGATGTGTTTGCTTCATTAAAAAATTTACAAACAATAAAATTAGCAGATAACAACCTCACGTTATCTAAAAATGCATTTAGAGGTCTAGAAAATAGTCTGAAGAATTTAAATCTAAAAGGAACAAATCAGAAATCTTTACCAKAGTGTATAAGAAGTTTAAAAAATTTAGCATTTTTAGATTTAGCTCAAAATATTTTAAGTGAATTACCGGGAACTTCTGGGCATATTTTTCAAGGATTAGGAGCTTTGACAGCTCTCAATTTAGAAAGAAACGTAATTCAGTCTTTGGGAGAATTTACATTTGATAGTGTCAAAAATACCCTAAGTTCACTAAGTTTGCTCAATAATTTACTCACCGAATATCCAACTTTAGCTATTAGTAAACTGCCAGAACTTAGAGTTTTAGATCTTGGTTTTAACCTCATTAAAGAAATACCAAATGACGCGTTCCTAGCAAATCCATCTTTAACCTTACTAGCGTTAGATGGAAATCCAATCGAAACTATTCCTAAAAAAGCATTTACCCATCTAAACACTACATTGCGTGGGTTAAGCTTAGGAGGACGATACTTGCAGTGCGATTGCCGGATTCGATGGGTTATAGAATGGATAAAAAACAGCGATTTACAAGTGACCAGCAGAGAAAGAAATCCACAGTTTTGTGCTAATCCATCATTTCTCAAAAACAAACATTTCTATAAAATCGATCCTTCAGGTAATATATTATGAGTTTATTATACGTCATTAATTTTATTTTGTTTTTACAATTGGTATTTTGAATTACAGAAATGGTATGCGATAACGATCAAAGTTCTTCTGATGCGTCGGCGATGTTAGAAACTATTATAGAGGAAGATGATGAAGATTCCCAACATCCGATTGGAACTGGTGTCGGATATGCTAGTCCTACAATTGTTTCCCCAGAAATATTACCTACTTCGAAAAATAAATTTAAAAAGAATCCTCCRATAGCAGAAGTAGAAGTCGTAAAAAACACTAATTCATCTGAATTACTTGGAATTATAGAAACTACAAGAACTATTCCTTCGACTACTGAGACCACGACCATTGCAATTGAAACAACAACAAAGTATTTTGTACAAAACACTACAAATGTTAGTAAATTTAATAACCAATAATATTGAGGATTGAGAAGGTACCTATAGTTAACATAATAAACTTTATTTTTCAGACTAAACCAATGAACACAAGTCGTAAAAACAATTTAGTTATAACACGACCACAGTCAGTACAAACATCCCAGAAACCACCATTAATACTAGGTTCTTATCCTAAAAAGCAAGTTCAAGAAGTCATCATAAGGAGTGTACACAGGCAAGATAATTCCGTTATAATTCAATGGGATTCCGAAACAGCAAATATCTTAGGATTCCGAGTGGTATACAGGCTTTTTGGGGACCGCACTTTCAAGCAGGGCCCACCTCTCGAAACCAGTGAACGAGAGTTTAAAATTAAAAACGTGCCATATCAGGTAAATTGAAATAAATATAAAACCTTGTGTATGTTTGATAATTTATAGTAAATTGTGGAGGTACTAATAATACGTATACATATACATAATAATACATAATCAAATAACCGACATTTATGATTTTCATTGATTTAATTTAAAATAATGGCCTCATATTAAATGATGTAAGTTATACTAGCGATCATCAAATTGGTGGTCACYCATGTATGATTTAAATAACTATAAATCAATCATTTTTAAATAAAATACATATGCAAGTATATTCAAAATAGTTATAGGTAGTKCTTAAAATCTTTAAAAATTATATGAGAAAAATTAAAACCTATATTCAAAATAAAAATAAGGAAACCTCCATAAAATATAAATTTATCTTGGAAGTAGGTTATTTAATACTAGTACCTACCTAATTACTATTTATAACTAGGTATCTAATTTTATTCCAAATGATTTCAAAAAAAAATTTCAAACCAAAATCTTTAATAYGTTATTTCGGTTCAATTCCTCCAGACTATTAGGTCAGAAAARAGTATAAGTGAAGTATTTAATTCAATGGCCAAAACCTCGTGCAATGAACGAGAATCACTATTCACTTTGGGGTTAGGTATACTATACTAGGTGCATTATAGACAGAAGAAATACCCGCGTTATCTACCGTAATTTATAACTATTTATATTTATGTAGGAATGTATTATCGTGTGCGTCATATCTCTGGAGGAAATTACCATCACGCCTGACACGGTCCCGTACAGCCAGTGCCGGGAAATAAGGACAGCGGTTACAATGACCAGTAACATGGACAGAATAACGATTGCAGCAAGTGCAGCCATATGTGGCACGGTCTTGATCGCGGTCGTCGTGTTCATTGCGGCGAGCAAGAGTCGAGCCAAAAAGCTGCGAACGTTGCACAATGCGGTAGCGTCCGGCCATCCAAACAAATCCGGCATCCCGGTGGGCACCTTACCGGCKAACTGCTACGCAGGACCAAACGCAGCCCAGATGTCCTCTTTGGCCGCCCTAAATGCGTTCAACAGTCACAAGGATTGGGATCAGGGTTCGGTGTACAGCAATCGGAGTTTAAACCCGTCCCGAATGTACCGAATGGCCGATAGCAGACAAGGTGAGAATGTTATAATAATTTGTAATGCGAAGAGCATCAATTACCCAGTTAAAAAGTTAATTTTTTTAAGACTTTTAATTAACTATCCAACTGACTAAATAATTTGACTAGTTAAAGCATCTGTTGTAATAACATATCGCCTTTTCCGGCTAATGTATACGTTAAATTACAGTCATGATGTCTTTATCATTCAATTACGTACAGATTGAAGCCGATGACGGTAATTAAAACGAATGAATTCACTATTTTTAACACAAAAATAAACATAAAAATATTTAATACATTTATAATTTGATTGTAGACATTATAATTTCATAAAAAAAAAAAAATGCTAAAAGTTGTCTACTAATATGCCATAAGAAAGGAATGGTTAGGTTAGGTATACATTTTTAACAAAATATTTGGAAATTATTTTTTAAAAAAATTGATTATTGTACAATCAATGTGTGTGGACCAGGTGGAAATAACTTTTTAACTGAGCTAAGAGTTATAACATCTAATCCACATTAAATTTAAGCTTTTAGAGTAGGTATAATAA